CCGTGCCCCGGGCTCACCCCGCTCCTTGCGCTCCGGGAAGCCCAGCTGCGCGTCGAAGGTCGGCATGTGGAGCGGGTCCGGCTCCACCTCCGCGTCGATCAGGTAGCGCCGGACCAGGTGCGCCCCCATCCCCGCCTCGGTCACCTCGGGGCCGCGCTGCCTCGGAAGCACTTCCCCCCCCCCCCCGGAACCGGATGTGAAGGGCTCGCTCTGCCCCCCCCCAGGACCATAGAGATCACAGGGCAGTTCCTAGATAGGCAGGAGGCTTTCTGGTTTCTGGCCCATGTCATCGTGGGGGCGGGGCCTCTGTTCGCCCCGCCTCTTTTCCCGTGGGATCTCTGCTCCCGCCTCTCCCTCCTGCGCGTGGGTCCCCCGGAGGGTGTGTTCCCGCTCTCCAGGAACAGGGGCACATCAGCCAATCACCACCCTTCTGCTGGGGGAAATTTGCATGTAACAATCCTATTGGCTGCCCCAGCTCCTGGGGTAAGACATGGGCCTCCTGGTGGGTGAGGCCCAAGGGGGCCTGGTCTGCGGCCCCACCCCAGGCCCTGCTGCCCCTGCTGGGACCCCTCGTTGTCTGTGTATGTACAGCGCCTAGCACTACCGCAGTGCACCTAATAAATAAGGTACAGCGCCTAGCACAACAGGGCCGTACTGTAATACACCTAATAAATGTCAGCTAGCCCCAGATTGACTGGGTACATGTTGCTCCAGGATGGGATGCAGAGACAAAATTTCTTGACACCTGACACTCCCGTCTGCTCCAACAAAGACCCAGGGTCTGAATTACTTGCCCCAAAGCTGCAGGTTTACCTGAAAGCAGCTAACAGAAGTGTTCCTGTGTTTAACACTCTGGCCTTGGCTACACTTGCGAGTTACAGCGCTGTAAAGGCTCCCCGAGCGCTGTAACTCACTCCCCGTCCACACTGGCAAGGCATTTGCAGCGCTGTATCTCCGTGGTTGCAGCGCTGCATGTACTCCACATCCCCGAGAGGAATAGCGAGTATTGCGCTGCCGCTGCAGCGCCGCAGCGCCAGTGTGGCCGCCCAATGCACTGTGAATGGCCTCCAGAAGTATTCGGCAGTATCCCACAATGCCTGTTCTAGCCACTCTGGTCATCAGTTCAAACTCTACTGCCCTGGCCTCAGGTAACCAACCATGTGACCCACCCTTTACATTCCCCGGGAATTTTAAAAATCCCCTTCCTGTTTGCTCAGCCCGGCGTGGCGTGGAGTGCTATCAGCGAATCTTTCCAGGTGACCACGCCTCCACGCGCCAAGCTCCAGCATGGAGCAATGGCGAGTTGCTGGACCTCATCAGTGTTTGGGGGGAGGAAGCTGTCCAGTCCCAGCTGCGCTCCAGCCGTAGGAATTACGATACCTTCGGGAAGGTATCAAAGGACATGATGGAAAGGGGCCATGACCGGGACGCCCTGCAGTGCAGGATTAAAGTGAAGGAGCTGCGGAGTGCCTACCGCAAAGCCCGCGATGCAAACGCCCGCTCGGGTGCTCCCCCCGCGACCTGCCGATTCTACAAAGAGCTGGATGCGATACTTGGGGTTAACCCCACCTCCACTCCGAGCACCACCATGGACACTTCAGAGCCGGTGTGGGGGGGAGGAGGAAGAGGAGGAGGAGGAGGAAAACGGGAGTGATGGTGGTGGGCCAGATGGAGATACCCCGGAATCCCTGGAGCCATGCAGCCAGGAGCTCTTCTCGAGCCAGGAGGAAGGTAGCCAGTCGCAGCGGCCGGTACTTGGTGGAGGACAAACAGAAGAGCAGGTTCCCGGTAAGCGGGTTTTTTTTTCGGGAAGGAATTTTTTCGGTGCGGGCTCTTTGGGAGAGGAGGGTTAGGCATGCATGCCTAGATGCGGAATAGTGCATTGATGTGGTTTATCACATCGCGGTAATCGGCCTCGGTAATCTCCTCGAATGTCTCATCCAGCACGTGGGCAATGCGCTTGCGCAGGTTTATCGGGAGAGCCACCATGGTCCTTGTCCCAGCCAGGCTAACGTGTCCGCGCCACTGTGCCGCGAGGGACGGGGGGACCATTGCTGCACACAGGCAAGCTGCATATGGGCCAGGGCGGAAGCCGCATTGCAGTAGAAGACCCTCCCTTGCTTCCCAGGTCACCCTCAGCAGCGAGATATCGTCCAGGACGAACTCCTGTGGAAAATGTTGGGACAGTGTTCAGTGTAGGTGCCCCCTGAAGCTGTTGGCTCTCCCCAAGGCACAGAAACCCAGAGGACAGTGTAGCCCTGAAACAATCAGTCCCCCTTACTCACCATTTTGAGGCTCCCGTGGGATATGTGTGCTCTGTTTCGGACAGGAAAATTATGCTATTGTGTAGACCCTGTGTGTTTTCTACTCCTTAAGTGCGGGGGGAATCATTACTCTGTCTGGTATAAACAATGCTGCCTCTGTTAAATGTTGCGTTTTGCCTATACAGCTGCATCAACCTTGAGACCTCAGCCGTCCCTCTTATCGCCTGCTCAGAGACTGCAAAGACTCAGGAAGAGACCGCGAAAAAGCAAAGAAGACATGCTGCAAGAAGTGATGCGGCAATCTATTAAAGAGAATGAGAAAGCACAGGACTGGAGGGAGAGAGAAAGCTCCCTAAACCCCCCAGAAGGACTTGATTGAGGGGTTCTTGTCCCTACACGCTCTGCTTGGGACTGTGTTCCTGGCATCTAATAAACTGTCTGTTTTACTGGCTGGCTGAGAGTCACGGTGAATCTCAGGAAGAGGGGTGCAGGGCCCTGACTCCCCCACACTCCGTGACATTGGGCTGGGGGCAGTGCTAATGCAAGAGGAGGCAGGGGGTAAAAGACATCCCGTGGCGTACTGAAGCAAGAAATTGTCCCCCACTGAGCAAAATGACGCTCCCATTGAGAAGGAATGTTACGCCATTGTCTGGGCTGCCAAGCAGTTTAAGCCCTATTTGTACAACAAAAAATTCCCTGTGTTGAGTGATCCTGCCCCTCTGGTCTGGCTGCATAAGGCCAAGGGTACCAACTCCAGGTGATTGCGTTGGAGTTTAGCCCTTCAAGAGTATGAAATGGATATAATCCCCATAAGGGGGAAGGAAAATACTGTAGTTGATGCATTGTCCAGAATGGGGAGTCCTTAGGATGCAGTCAGCGATGTTTGTGACATCCCTTCCTGCATGAATTTTGCCTTGGGGGTGTGATGTTATTGACACCAACCAGGACCATATAGATCATTGCTGGAACCAAAGTCCTGTAGTGGCCCCACATCTCGTATAAAGGGGGTCAAATAAGGTGTCTAAGACAAGGTTATGGTTTGCTGGTTATGATTATGCTGTCTGTATGCATGTATCATTTTTGTATTTAAAGTTATAAGTATTGGCGCAATACCGTCTGTATTTCAAACTTGTGCTGTGCTTCTGGATGATACCCCAGACAATTTGGTGTCAGCACTGCCTAGCCTGCTTGATGGCCCATTAAGGACCATCAGCTATACCAGGGTTCGGCAACCTTTCAGAAGTGGTGTGCCGAGGCTTCATTTATTCACTCTCATTTAAGGTTTCGCGTGCCAGTCATACATTTTAATGTTTTTAGAAGGTCTCTTTCTATAAGTCTATAATATATAACTAAACTATTGTTGTATGTAAAGTAAATAAGGTTTTTAAAATGTTTAAGAAGCTTCATTTAAAATTAAATTAAAATGCAGAGCCCCCCGGACTGGTGGCCAGGACCCGGGCAGTGTGAGTACCACTGAAAATCAGCTCGCGTGCCGCCTTGGGCACATGTGCCATAGGTTGCCTACCCCTGAGCTATGCAATTGACCCATTGAGAGAAGGCAGACACACCTCAGCAAGGCATGAAGGGACCTGCCTATGGACAGAACTCTAAGGTTTTTCTATGCAGTGTGCTGGATAGGGTGTCCTTGGGACAAGGAAAGCAAAGACCACATGGCAAGAGACTATAAAAGGATGATGCCTCATCGCCATCTTGTCTTCAATCCTGCTTCTAACCTCTGGAGGGACTTTGCTACAAACTGAAGCTCTGAACAAAGGACTGAATGACCCATCCCAGCTGGGGATGTTCCAGAGACTGGATTTGAACCTAGTTCATTCCATCACTGCTACAAGCCTGAACCAAGAACTTTGCCATTACTGTATGTAATTGATTCCATTTAACCAATTCTAGCTCTCATCTCTATCTTTTTCCTTTTATGAATAAACCTTTAGCTTTTAGATTCTAAAGGATTGGCAACAGCGTGATTTGTGATTAAGATCTGATTTGTATATTGACCTTTGGGATTGGGAGAACCTTTTTTCTTTTACTGGGGTGTTGGTTCTCATAACCATTCACTCCCATAACGAGTGGCACTGGTGGTGATACTGGGAAATTGGAGTGTCTAAGGGAATTGCTTGTGTGACTTGTGGTTCGCCAGTGGGATAAAACCAAAGTTCTCTCTGTCTGGCTGGTTTGGTGTGCCTTAGAGGTGGAAAAACCCCAGTCTTGGGCTGTAACTGCCCTGTTTTAAGCAATTTGTCCTGAATTGGCACTCTCAGTTGGGTCCCGCCAGAACCAGCATCGTTACAGAGGACCAAAAAAGTGCCACCGTGGCTGAACATTTAAAAAAAGAACAATTAGAGGCAAAAGGGTAACCTTTAAAAAGTGGAAGTTAAATCCTATTGAGGAAAATAGAAAGGAGCATAAACCCTACATAACATAAGATGGCAATATTGGGTCAGACCAAATCTCCCTCGCATTCTCTGCAGTGAAGACCGATGCAAAGAATTCATTTAGTTTCTCCGCAATGGCCTTATCATCCTTGAGTGCTCCTTTAGCATCTCAATCAGCCAGTGGCTCCACTGGTGGTTTAGCAGGCTTCCTGCTTCTGATGTACTTTTAAAAAAAATTGCTGTTATTTTTTGGCCAGCTGTTCTTCAAATTCTTTTTTGGACTTCCTAATTATATTTTTACACTTCCCTTGCCAGAACGAACAGAATGTTGCGAATCATTAAGAAAGGGATGGATAATAAGACAGAAAATATCATATTGCCTCGATATAAATCCGTGGTATGCCTACATCTTGAATACGGCGTGCAGATGTGGTCACCCCATCTGAAAAAAGATATATTGGAATTGGAAAAGGTTCGGAAAAGGGCAACAAAAATGATTAGGGGTATAGAACAGCTTCCGTATGATGAAAGATTAATAAGACTGGGACTTTTCAGCTTGGAAAAGTGGCAACTAAGGGGGGATATGATAGAGGTCAATAAAATCATGAGTGGTATAGAGAAAGTAAATAAGGAAGTGTTATTTACACCTTCTCATAATACAAGAACAAGGGGCCACCAAATGAAATTAATAGATAGCAGGTTTAAAACAAACACAAGAAAGTATTTTTTCACGCAACGCACTGTCAACCTCTGGAACTCCTTGCCAGAGGGTGTTGTGAAGGCCAATACTATAACGGGGTTCAAAAGGGAGCTAGATAGATTCATGGAAGATACGTCCATCAATGGCTATTAGCCAGGATGGGCAGGAATGGTGTCCCTAGCCTCTGTTTGTCAGAAGCTGGGATTGGGTGACAGGGCATGGATCACTTGATGATAACCTGTCTGTTCATTCCCTTTGGGGCACCTGCCATTGGCCACTGTCAGAGGATAGGATACTGGGCTTGATGGACCTTTGGTCTGACCCAGTCTGGCCATTCTTATGTACTTGAAGCAGGATGTTTGGTTTGAAGCGTGTCAGAGATTCCCCTGGGGATAACAAGCCTGGTACATATCAATTTCTTTGTTAAATTGATGAACTCATATGAGCTTCCAGCGTCCAGCGGGCATAACTGGACACTGCAAGAGGGAGGTTCCTAGGGTTGTGTCTGGGACTGGAGATATTGGCTAGTGCCATGCGGCTGGCCAAAAGCGCTCACCCATGTAGCTGGGAGCAACTTACATGCCAGAGGCTGTGTGTGAACAGCCTGGGAATGGGGGTTCTCACAGCAGAGCAGGGTAAGGCTGGCTCCCTGAGTTGAGGATTGGAGTGACCTAGCAGATCACGGGTCCAGATAACACCAGGGGAATGTCACAACCTAATAACTAATGTACAACACCTAGCACAATGGGGCCCTGGGCGCTACTGTAATATACCTAATAAATAACATACGGGGCCTAGAACTACAGGGCCCTGGGCACTACCGTAATACAGCTAATAAATAACATACGGGTTCTAGCACTGTGGGGTTTTGGGCCGGGGTTGAGGCTCCTAGGCATGTTTGTGGAAAAATGCCTCTTCGTGCATTGAAACGCAGCGATCTCGGATCCCATTACTGTGGCTACCACACAGCGCCCTCTAGTGCCACGCTTTGGCATTGGCATCTGGGTTCACTAGACAAAACCTCACCCCCATTAAGTCATCTGTGTTGCCCCCCTCCCAGCACCCCGCCTGTTCCTGGGAGATTGTAGCTCTTTAGACCCAGCCTTGTGGGATCTGATGAGCTCTCAGTCCAAGATGGGGTGGCTACAGGCCTTTTACCAGTTCGCATCCCCTCCCCCACCCCGCACCCCAATCCTGCTGAGAATATCCCAATGCCCACACCTCAGGCCTGGCTTCTAATGAGCTGCACTTATTTTGCAAAACAGGCGTTTACGCAAACCAGGGTCTCCCCTCCACTGGAGCATGGTGGCTGCAGCTGGTGTGGTTTCTATTCTGGTCCCTGTGGGTGTGTTTGCCACCTGCCAGGGGCTCTCAGAGAGAGGAACCTTTAAAACTCAAAGCCGGTGAGGATGTGGTAATATTTGAAGCCTGTAAACTTTGTAATATAGTTTGGGAGAAAGAATTTTACCCAGAGGACTGGAAGAAAGGTGTGATCTGTAAATTACCAAAGAAAGGCAACGACTTGGTGTGTTTCAGAGTAGCAGCCGTGTTAGTCTGTATCCGCAAAAAGAACAGGAGTACTTGTGACACCTTAGAGACTAACAAATTTATTTGAGCATAAGCTTTCGTGGGCTACAGCCCACTTCATCGGATGCATGCAGTGGAAAATACAGTAGGAAGATATATATATCTATATATCTATATATAGATATAGATATATATACACACAAAGAGAACATGAAACAATGGGTGTTATCATACACATTATAAGGAGAGTGATCAGTTAAGGTGAGCTATTATCAGCAGGAGAGGGAAAAAAAACTGTTTGTAGTGGTAATGAAAATGGCCCATTTCCAGCAATTGACAAGAAGATGTGAGGAACTGTGTGTGTGGGGGGGGGGAATAAGCATGGGGAAATAGTTTTACTTGGTGTGTGATAACTGGCCAGAAATATCATTATTTTCAGTACTTGGAAAAGTGTTTGGTAGTGTACTATTGGACGAAATGAAATTGGTCATATATGAAAAACTGTAATGAGAGTGCAGGTTTTAGAGCCCAAAGATTTGCCCTGATACAATTGAGAAAGGGCTTGCTTGGCAGGGAAAATTAGTCTTGAGTTTCATAGAGTGCATCAAAATTTTTGACTGCATTCATACAGAGTTGCAATGGAAGATCTTGCAACAATATGGCTTCCTAGAAAGATAGTATCACTAGTTACGATGCTGTACAAAGGATAAAATGCTATGTAAGGACAGAAAGTGGGGAGACTGATTGAGCTGGAGCGCAGCACGGTCGCATCTCTTCACCCCTTCTTTTCTGCGTGATGATAGATTACATGATGCGAAAGTGAAACGCAGCATCAAAGGAAGATACAGGAGTTATGTCAAGCAGAGGAAAACTTCAAGATCTCAATTTTGTTCCATTGGACACAGATGATGACGCTATAGAATAGATCAGGGTTCGGCAACCTTTCAGAAGTGGTTTGCCGAGTCTTCATTTATTCACTCTAATTTAAGGTTTCGCGTGCCAGTAATACATTTTAATGTTTTTAGAAGGTCTCTTTCTATAAGTCTATAATATATAACTAAACCATTGTATGTAAAGTAAATAAGGATTTTAAAATGTTTAAGAAGCTTCATTTAAAATTAAATTAAAATGCAGAGCCCCCTGGACCGGTGGCCAGGACCCCGGCAGTGTGAGTGCCACTGAAAATCAGCTCACGCGTTGCTTACCCCTGGAATAGATCCTCACCAAAGTCAAACATGAGGCCGCCAAAGTAGGATTAAGAATTAGCCAAAAGAAAACAAAAGTTGTGCTAGTTGAAAGAGGAACCAGCAATGATGGGGCATCTGTGATTAACAGTTAAGAATATGACATGGCTAATAAGTTGTATATCTTGGAAGCACAATCAGTGTTGATGGCCAAGGAGATGGAAGTAAGATCTGGGAAGGGAAGTGGAGCTGTTCTGAGACTGGCAAATATATGGGAAAATAAGGAGATTGACACAAGACCCGAGATGAAGATGTACAATATTGCTGTGATATCCACAGTGGGGATATGCCTCTGGCACTTGTGAAATGTGAGATGCCCCCAGTAGGAAACAACATATTCCATCAGAGACGCTTGCAGAGAATAGTTGGGGTCCACAGACGGGAAATCATAACAAACGTTGATGTGTCCCAAAGGCCTGGCCAACAGCCGTAAAGCCAATGATTTGAGGAAGAAGGCTGACGTGGTTTGGGCCTGTTGCATGGATGCCAAAGAAATGTGTTCTTAGATGAGCCCTTGACTGGATCCCACTTGGTAGAAGATGACAAAGAGGACAACAGCGGCCATATAAGAAATCCCTGCAGCCCAAGCATCACAGAGTGGGACTCACCTTCAGTCACTCTGTTTTCTGGCACCTAAAGGGCAAGGCTGTGGGCTGGGTTCCTCTTCTGCTAACCGAGCCCACAGCTGGTAGTCGGGCGTGGTACGTATGGTAACATGGGCAGTGACCCGTGGCGGGGCTGGGGGAGGAAGGAAGTTACATGCATGTGAAAATCACAGAGCTCCTGACAGAGCCAGGCTGTGGCTGGTTCCCTTAGACGTCCTTCGAGTCCGTCCGCGGGAGATCGGCATGGCTCACCTGAGCGACTACGGGAACTGGATGGGTCATTTGCAGTCAAAGGGCAAGAAGCCAGCGGAGCGCAGAGGTAAATGGCCAGTGATCTGAGTGGGGGCCTGGCTACCAGGCCTTCCAGGGGCTGTCAGCTTGGCAGATCTTAGCTACTCAGATGGGAGGCCTCAGAGGAAAACCCAGGCTGCTCCCAGGAGCATGGTGGGGAAATTAATAGGGGCTCTCTCCCCTGCTAGTCTGTGCTACCCCGATGTCCTGGCATGGTGCTAGGTAATGCTGTGTTGCAGGGTGGGTGCTCTCCCACCCGTCAGGGCTGGCCCCAATGCCCCAGCGTGGTGCTAGAGGGTGCAGGGCTGCCTTTCCCACAAGTTGTACACCCAAAGTCTTGACCACGTGTGGTTGTTAAAGATCCTCTGGCCCCTTCCATAAGAGTCAGGGTGTTACCCGTTGTGTCCTGGCCAAATTCCAGCCCAGGCAATTCTGACTGTCCCCCCAAAGCCCCATTGTGGTTTCAACTGAGAACTGGATTCGTCCTTCCCACCCTGCATAGCTGCATAGCATCCCCAGAGATGGCTGCATCTCAGTGCTGGGTGAAGAATCCCTGTATAAACAGCCCTACACCCCACCCCAGAGATGGCTGCATCTCAGGCTGAAGGATCCCTATATGCCATGCCCCAGAGGCAGCATCATCTCAGCGCTGGGTGAGAGAGCCTTGTATAAACAGCCCTGTGTTCCACCCGAGGTGGCTTCATCTCAGGCATGGGTGCGGTGATAGATCAATAGAAATACACCCAGAGCCCATGAAGTGCCTTGGGATGAAAGGGAGAGTCAAGAGACTGTATCAGTGTGTGTGTGAGCATGCTCCCACCCTGGGTGAAGCAGCCCCCTCCTCCGGCTGAGCCAGCTCGTCTGCTGCCCAAAAAGAGCCCCCACCCTCCCTCTTCCTTCCCACCCAAGGGAGGGTTTGTGACCAGCCAGCCTCTCTTCCCATGGCTGGCTCCCTCCCGTGGAGATCTCCCGTTCCCGCCACACTGGCCCAGCCTGTCCCGGTGAGACTGAGTGGCTCTGTAATCTCCAGGTGTGGCTGCTGAGTCCGACAGTGGGGACGACTACGAGAATGTGTCCCTGGAGAACTCTCCCAAGCCCCCGCCCCTGCCGCGCGGGAAGAAGGCGAAGGCGGCCGCGCCGAACCGGAAGGACAAAGGAGGAGCAGGTACCAGGGAGCCCCAGCTGCCCCGCTCTGCAGGGATCGCTCCTGCCCCACTGCTCGGGGGGTGTCAGCGCAGAACTCAGTATCCAGCCCCGAGCCACCTTTGGGTCTGTGGGAGCCAGTGAATCTGGGCCTGGCTTGGCTGCTCACAAACTGGCCTGGCTGGGAATGGCTGGGCAAGCCCACAGTGGGTGGTGGTAGCACAGAATGAGGAGACTGGTTACATGGAGGGGAAGGCCAGGCCTGTGGCTCACATGCGGGCTGGTGGATTCAGTTCCTGACCCCTGAGCACTGCCCGGGTCCCTGCCCATAGACGCAGAGACTCAGACGCCCGTCTCTGTTAGGCGCCACCAGCCAGACCTACCCTTCTCTCTCCTCTCCAGGTCCGGCAGCGACACCAGGCAGACCCCCCAAAACCGGTGAGAAACGTTCCAGCTTTTTGCTGGGGAGCAAGTGAGGCCTGGGTACAGAGCAGCCGCCCCGTCCAGCGGCCGGTCCACGCAGCTGAGAGCTCGTCACGTACGGGCAGCATCGGGGGACAGAACTCGTGACCTTCTGTTCCCACAGCTGTGACATGTCCCAGCCAGCAGGGGGCAGCGCCACATACCCGAGCTGCTTTGACACGTCCCAGCTGTGCAGTCCCCGTTCCCCACCCCCATTTCCAGGGCATCGCAGGCTTTACCTCCCCAGCCCCCCGTTTCTCACTATGGCACTGGAAGAAACATCCCCCACCCCAGAGTTCAGGGGTGCCCCTCCCCCACACAAACCCCCATCCCTGTGCTGGGAGCTCGCACGATATAATCCCTCCGGTTTCCTTTCAGACCTGGCCATTTCAGTGATCTCGGGGGACCCGGTCCTTCGGCCTTCCAAGCTCGGTGAGGACTCGGAGCTCTGCTCGGCTTGCGGCAGAACGCCCCCTGCTCCCCGCACCCTGGCCCAGGGCAGGACCCGTCCCTCCAGTCTGTTCCCCGAGGCTATCAATTCCAGCTGGTCGATCCCTTGGGGCCTGGCTGCTTCCTGGGTGGCTGGGGTAGCTGAGCGCTGGCTGGTGGGGAGAGGGGGGTCCCAGCGGGATCACCCCAGTAGGGGCACAGACTGGCCCAGAGCAGCAAGCCAGGGTGGGTGGGGAGGGTGAAGCCCAGCCAGGTAGGGGCTGTGTGCGGCCCCCTCTGCAGCCAGGATGGAGAGTAGGATTTCGTGGTCTTTGCAGCAGAGCTGGCAGATTTAACGCTCTTTGTCCCCCACGCCCAGGGCTGGACCTGTCGTCCGCAGCCGTGGCAGCTGCCTTCCAGCCCCCGGGAGGAGGTGAGTAGAGTCTGCCAGGGCAGGGGGGCGCCCTCATGCCAGTGGCGGATTAATAATTTTGCCGCCCCTAGGCCGGGAAATAATTGCCGCCCCGACTCTGCCCTTTTCCCGCCTCCATTCCAATCCCCTCCCCAGAGTCCCTGCCCCAACTCCGCCCCCTCCCTTCCCCTATTGGATCCCTTCCTCAAAGCCCCGCCCCCGGCCCCGCCTCTTCCCCCAGCGCGCGGCGTTCCCCCACCTCCCCCCTCCCTCCCTGCCCTGTGAAACAGCTGTTTCGCGGCGCAAGCGCTGGGAGGGGAGAGACATAGGACGCGGCGGCGCGCTTGCAGAGGAGGCGGAGGTGAGCTGGAGCAGGGGGGCGGGGCGCGGAGGGTAGCTTCCGCCCCTGCAAATTTGCCGCCCTAGGCCTAGGCCTTGTCGGCCTGGGCAATAATACGGCACTGCCTCATGCTACCCTGGCTCGGGGCACAGGGTGAGTGTGACAGGAGCCTGAAGTTGCACAGAGCCAGGCCGGGTCTGGACTTGCAGGGGAGAATGAAGGAAAATTCAGGTTGCTCCTGGGTTGGGGGCTCAATAAGGGGCTCTCTTCCCTCCCAGTCAGAGCTGACCCCCAATGCGGCACTAGGGGGCGCTGTGCTGCAGGGAGCAGGGTGGGGGCTCTGTTGGGGGCTCTCTTCCCTCACAGTCAGTGCTGACTCCAGTGCGGCACTAGGGGGCGCTATGCTGCAGGGAGTGGGACAGGGGGCTCAGTAGGGGGCGCTCTCCCCTCACTGTCCATGCTGACCCCCAATGCCACAGTGCAGTGCTAGAGGGCTCTCTCCCCGCAGTCAGTGCTGGCTCCAGTGCCATAGGGGGCGCTGTGCTCTCTTTTAGGCAAGGCCCCATACAATCAGACGATTATGCCTGAACACAGCCAATTAACAAAGCTCCTGGGGCAGTTTTGGGGAGAGTCGCGGTGCTCACCCCAATGTCCTGCCCATTGCGGGGGAATTCCATTTCCTCTCCCTGGATTCCCCCTGCCTTGTCAACCGCCCAGGGAACTCTCCTTCCAGCCGGGCCCTATGCTACACAACTCTCCAATGGCCGCAGCACTCCACCCCAGAGGTGGCTGCATTGAAGTGCTGGGAGAAGCAATCCCTGTATGGACACAGCTGGGCAGAGGGAGCTGGGGGTCCGGCTTCTTGCTCTTGCCAAATGGAGGTGCTCTCTGTGGAGTTACCCGGCTATCTGGTGGGATGCCCCGTAAACCTCTCCTTTCCATAACCCCATTTGTACCAGCAGGTACCTCCTGCCGACATTTCCCAGGCACCCACTGGAGGGAGAGTCCTTCACTATAATCTGCCCTACTCAGCCCTCCCTGCTTAGCTTCCCCCCTGTCCTGATACCCTCTCCCTTCAGAGAGCTAACTGCTGCTGTTCCCCATAGATCTTCCCCTCCCTAAACCTGCCTCACGGAGAGGCTGCCCTGGGAGGTCTCTGCTGATCACCTACGTCCTGCTGGGGGTTTGCTTCCTCATGTGCAGCGTGTTCCTCGTCCTGGCCCTCATGAAACGTGAGTGTGGGGCGGTCCCGGGTGTGTCAGGACAGCTGCAAGTGGGGTCATGCGGGCTGGGCTCGCCGTGCCTCATGTCCCCACAGGGACGGGGCTGCTCAGGAATTTCCCATTGAGACTCTGGGCCAGAAAATTGAGGGTTTGATTCAACAAAATTTCACGAAAAGGGGTCGGTTTCCACAGACATTTTTTGCCTTTTTGAGAGAAAAACCAAACACTGGAAAGAAGAAATATTGTGATTCAGAAATGCTGCCATGGTGCCTCAAAGGAGCTGAGTTCAGTTATCACGTGTCCCCATTCTCCTCTCTGGGCTTGGCTCCTCAACTGGACTACACCTCCCAGAATGCACCCCTGCCAGGGAGTCCCATGATGCACTGCCTCCACTTTCCAAGAGGGGAGACTGCAGTGCATCATGGGAGAGAGATACCTCATGCTCCTAGTCACTGCTCTAGGGAAGGCTCCCTGGTTGGACCATTAAAATCTCACGTGGTGTGTGATGGTCTCCCCTCCTGGAGAGGGCAGGCAGTGCATCATGGGGCCCAGTGGTGGTGCATCATGGGAGATGAAGTCTGGGTGGGGAGACGAGTCCCTACTGGGGAAGAGGACATGAGGCATCCAAACTACAACTCCCATGGGGTGCCAGAGCAGAATTTCCAAATCAACGTTTTTCAGTATTTGAAGTTCCAACATAGGAAGAAAAAAGGACTTAAACCCCCCCCCCCCCACAATTTTAGTCAAAAATTAAGGGTTTGTGTGTGTGTGTGTGTTTGTAAAAAAGTCTGTGGGACAAGTCTGGCATTTTCCAGCAAGCTCTGTCCACAGGCAAGGCCACCCGGACTTAGGCTTCACCAGGTCTGAAGGGGATGGGGGATGAATCTCCAGCAACTCTGCATCTCAGGAGCGGAGGCTTTGCCCCTGGAGCGAGAATTCGTACCCCAAAAGTGTTAGGCTGAGATTCTGCTCTCACTGGCCCTGATGAAAATCAGATGTCACTCCGCTGAAATCAGTGGAATAGCTGTGCCAGGAGTGTGATTGGAATCTGGCCCAGAGGGCAGGATGAGTCCTTGCTCCAAATCGAAGAGCCCAAACCTGCAAGGGAAGCACTCAGCAGAGCCAGACCCTAAAGGATCAGCACCCAGGCTAAGCAGCAGAAGAGCAAAGTGCAGCAGAAGGAGCTGTAACAGCAAGGGAGTAACCCTGGATTTACTCCACTCAGCACCTGATCTATAAACGTGAGGAATCATCACCTAAGAGTAAGGGGGTGATGTTAATAGTGCTGCCAACCCTCACTATATTTGGTGTTTTTCCTTAAAGCCCCAGCTCCCGGAGTCCTGGGATGATGGGAAACACTTAGCTCATTTCAAAACAAACCAATAAATGCTTAACCCTCACAGCTGGGAAAGGAATAGCTGGAGAACACAATCCCTACGGGGTCTTGTGCATTAGACCCTTTCCCCCTACTCTGCGTCTCTCTTGGCTACTTAGATCGTTAGCTCTTCAGGGCAGGGACTGTCTACTCCGTGTTTGTGCAGTGCCCAGCCCAACAGGGCGCCGATCTTGGCTGGGCCTACGCACTGCCTTTGTACACGCGATTACTAATAGCTCAAGAGACCAGAGGGCAAACCAGAAGAATCCCCAAAATAATTTTAAAAAGTTTAATGGGTTTTTTTGGGGAGGGGGCACGATTCATAACTTTTTGAACACCTGGCATTGGAAAATCTGTCACTGACAGCACTAAGCGACTCCCCTTCCTCCCCATCAAACCGATTCCCCTAGCACGGGAAGAAACCAAGCCATTGGGGGCTGGAGCAGTTTCTAGTGTAAAGGATCACAGCTCTGCTCTTTGCTCTTTGTTCATCTCCCAGGCCCACAGCTGCAGCAGGAGTCAGAGGAGCCGAATTTCCACCTTCCCCAGAGGGCAGCTAATGGTAAGTAAATGCTCCCAAGCTAGCCCAGCATGCTTGTCTCTGGCTCAGCATAGATGCTGGCTGGGTGGGGGCGCTGTAGCCGATCATTTTATTGCAGTGATTTGTTTAGCAGCCTGCAATACCGGGCCAGATTCTGATATGTTACAGCCGTGTAAATCTGGAATAACTCCATTGACTGGCGTGATGGAGATCAGAATCTAGTGCAGGGTCAGGAGGTCCCTGTCTAAAGGCTATAGCTGTAATTAGCACCGGGTGAGGTTTGGGCTTTTAATGTAAGTTACAAAAACATGTGAAGTCTGAGTTTTGAAATTCTCACTGGGTTTCAAAAAGACACAAACGGGTGGGTTTTTTGTTCCCATGTTAGTAGTTTTCCCATCAAGGTGTTTGTCTCTCCGAGGTTTTTTAGAAACTAAAAACACCCACACTTTCCAAAGCCAAAACGTTTTGATTCACAAAAAAAGTGTCACTGGGGAGCCAACGTGGCCAGTCAGGCGGGGGAGGGTGAGTAAGAGACACCATTGGGGGGAGGGGCGGAGGGACACATGGGCATGTTCACAGCAGACCTCAAGTAGCCAAATATTTCAGTGTTTCCCCAAGTTTTCCACTTTTTAAGGCTAATTTTCATTAAAAGAATCAAATGAAAACCTGTAACCAGCTCTAGCTGCTATTAGTGCCATAGTAAATAGCTCTGTATCCCAATTCTCACCATCCTAGACCCAAACGCGTGTCTCTCCTACGCACCACCCATAAGCCAGCAATAACCTTCCCTCTAATGGCACCATTTGATCACAAACCTCTACATAACTCCTGCTACTCTGAGAGAGATCAGACTCAGTTTGTATCCCTGTGACCGGGGTCCTAGTGCGGAGCCAGCTGTGGTCACTCAATTAGGGTGAACTGCAAAGAATGGGGCAGCCAAACCCCCAAAAGCTGGTGGATATTCCAATACTTAGATTGACCAACCCAGCATAAAACAGCTTCTTTATTACCTCATATGTGTAACCCTTCGGCCAGGTGTTGCCAGCAGCAACAAGGGTCGGGTTCAGTATCTAGGAGTTCCTTTTCAACAATACAACACAAAACTGACTCGAACTCCTTGGACAATTACACATCACCCCCTGGGTGCCTCTAAGAGGCAATACTTCCCCTCTTGCAAGCACCGAGTCTGAGTGTAGCAAAATCTTAATAAAAGGAGGGAATTAACTCAGCATTAATGGGGGAAAACACCACAACTAGGGTTCATAAACACAAGCCATGAGCAAAAGACCCACCCCCAAGTAAGTTGGGCAGTATCCTTTTCCCCTCAGGGTCTTAAGTCCAGCAACCCAAAAGTTCCTTTAACGTGCCCGTCCCTTCTCCGTACCCCACTCACAGTTGCTGTCTTTGGCCAGTGCAGCCCCAGAGTTCAGAGGTTCATCCGCAGAGTTCACCTCCCACCCTGTGTGGAAGGTGGGGGAGCAGAGGTGGGGCAAGAAGGCACCTTACATACTGCACTGCTCAGGCACGTGCTCATCGCCCCAATGGCCGATTGCCACGCCTCTGCAGGGCTCTGCTCTGACCCTCTCCACCAGCTTCTCTGCTGGCCTCTTGGCACACCTCACCACCAGCCGCCCTGCTGACCACGCCACTCCACCAGCCTCCCTGCTGCCTGTTTGCTGTGCCTCTCTGCCAGCCACCCTGCTGACCGCACCTCTCTGCCAGCCGCCCTGCTAGCCGCGGCTCTCTGCCAGCTGCCCTGCTGGCCACGCCACTCCGCCAGCCTCCCTGTTGGCCACTTGCCACGGCTCTCTGCCAGCCACCCTGCTGGCCGCGCCTCTCTGCTAGCCTCCCTGCTGGCAGCTTGCCACACCTCTCTGCCAGCCGCCCACCACGCCTTTCCACCAGCTATCCTGCTGGTCACTCACTAAATATCTTCAGCCCTCTCACCCTACTTAACACAGCCCTCAGTGATTTCAGCTACTAGTGGGAGAGCCTCGCAGCTGGTGCATACTGGGTAGTCTCTTGCAATAGAGATGCTGTCCCAAAGGAGGTCTAATACTTAGACCTAGGAATCAATGATTACGGCTCTGCAGCATATAACAAAACTCTCAATTAAATCTAAATTAACTCTTTTACCATATCATGGAGAGAAAGAAGGGATCAAATAGTGTCCAGGGTCCCACAACACCCACCAAAGCCATCTGTCACCACCTTCTCCCACCTCATTGGGCTCTGGAACCCATGTTCCATGCCTAGTGAGTGACATTCAGTTGAGGGTGAATCCCTCCATTGGGGTGTGCTAGGTACAGTTCTGCTGCCCTTGGTTCACACAACAGGAATAACAACGCTTTATTACTCCTGCTCCAATAACAAGGAGACTGGGAAGCCAACACCAGCCACAAGTGATCATTTGGGCAAGCAATCCCATCATGCCAAGCACCTAGGCAGGGTGGGTGTGTCCATGCAAACAAGCTCAGCTTCTGAAGTCTTTTTCCACAGCTCACCGCTAGATGTCAGGGGAGAGCTCATTCAGACTCTGCTTACATCTGTAAATACATAAAAACACAAACATTATCTCCCCACCTGTCTTTTGAGGGTTATTTATTTTGCAGGCTGTTTAACCCTTTCTAGCCATGCATCACAATCCCCACGGCACCTTACCCAGCATGCCTGGCCAGCCTCTAACTCCCATGAATCTCTCTAGACTAGAACTCTCAGAATCCCTCTACTCGGGGCAGCAACCAGGAATGGGGCGGAGCTGAACCTGAAACTTCTCTTAAAGGGCCAGCATACCATGAGCTGCTCCCATCTGCAGTAGATTTGCTGGTCATTTGTAGCTGCGAATCAATCCTTACGCTGATTCCCATGGCATTTAGGGTTACCACCTGTCTGGTTTTTACCCGCACAATCTGGTTTTTGGCTTCTGTGTCAGGGGGCTATTAAGGGTTGTCAGGTGACTGGTTTTCGGGACCTGGCAACCCTAAATGGCACCCAAACCAAAAGCCTGGTTATCGCAGGGTGCAGGGGCGGCTCCAGGCACCAGCGCAGCAAGCGCATGCCTGGGGCGGCCTGCCGGTCGCTGCGAGGGTGGCAGTCACGCTGCCTTCGGCGGCATGACTGCGGGAGGTCCCCCGGTCCCGCGGCAAATCGGCGGCAATTTGGCGGCGGGACCGGCGGACCTCCCTTAGGCATGCTTCCGAAGGCGGCCTGACTGCCGTGCTTGGGGCAGCAAAATACATAGAGCCGCCCCTGGCAGGGTCGGGGGAGGTGCCGGGTCATTAACCCTCATGAGCCCCTGCTCAGCTGGGGCAGCCTCCTATCTGCAGGTGGGAGGATCCAGCAAGCGACAGGGGGCGGGGGAGGGAGGGAGAGGAGCGAGTTATGGGGGTGGGGCCTTGGAGAAGAGGCGTGGCAGGGGTGGTGCCATGGGGGTTCAGTTACCAGCAATTAGAAAGGTGGCAACCCTAATGGCATCCCTCAGGCTTTTGACTGGCTGATGTGGGGTCCCAGTATGAAAACGGCCACATTGGGAACTCACACGGATCCGGCCATGCACCAGCTGCCAGTCAGCAACAAACCCCTCCATTACCAACTTATTCCTCTCCTTGGAGATGGACCATCCCCTAGCGTTACAGGTGGGCTCCCCACACTGCACATGGTCACTCAGGACACCAGCCTGGTTATGGCAACCTTTCCCCTTTCCTGATCCCAAGGGCGTTTCTGTTTGCAGTGTCCCAGAACCGGGTGGATTGGGAGAAGATCCGAGCAGAGGTTGCGGCACTGCAGAAAACAGTAGGTGAGAGAATCACAGAGATGCTTCTCACTCTCATCAGTAGTAAGAGTGAGGGGCTGCGAGGTTGGGGTTGTGGGCTCTGTATCCACCTGGGGCTATGGACTTGGGCAAGTGTTTTATTAGGTGTATTATGGTAGCTTCTTGGAGCCCAGTCATGGCTCATGACCCCAGTGTGCTAGGTGCTGTACGTAATTAGGTGTTTTGCAGTTGCTCCAAGGAGCCCCACCCTGTACAAACACAGACCAAAATGCTTCCAGCCTAAGCAAGTCATGTCTCTGGACCCAGGTGGCCATGGCATGGAGAGTCTGTAGCCACTGAGGGCTCTGCGGCTGTCCCTGGCCTGCCCAGCTGGGGCTCTCAGAACACTGCAGGGACGATGCAGAGAAGGTCTTTGACTTTCTCTGGCTTGGGCGATGCAGGGAGCCAGCCCAGATGCTCAGAACAGTCCCTTCTGGCCTTAACATCTGTGGGTGAAATCCTGGCCTCCCGGAAGGCAGGAGGGGTTCTGCCCTTCTGCCCTGCCCCTCTGTGAAACTCCTCCCTGCTCCGAAAGCACAGTCCCTACCTCTCCAGCTGAGCCTGGCCTACACACAAAGGTTGTGCTACTCGAGTTATATTGGTCCATTTAAAGCAGTACAACCCTCCTAATGGAGAGCCAGTTATCCTGGTATAAATGTACTTACGCCAACACAGCCATTCCTACACAGGGAGGGAATATGTAAAAGGCACCTTCGACTCAGTATAACTGGATCCGCTCTAGGGGTTGTACTGGAATACCTAGAGCAGTTTAAAAAATAATCATTTCCCTAAACAAAATAGTTATGCCAATACAAAGGCTGGGGGTAAGGCAGATCTTAAGGAGAATCTCCATCAGCAGTATAGGATCTACAACACACAGCTAAACAGTAGAGGGCAAGGAAGATATAATAATCCCTAGTTCTTGTATACTGCTGTTCATCAGTAGATCTCAAAGCACTTTGCAAAGGAGGGCAGTATCATTATCCCCATTTGACAGATGGGGAAACTGAGGCACAGGGACAGGAAATGACTTGCCCCAGGTCACCCAGCAGGTTAGTAGCAGAGCTGGGGATCAAACTTAGATCTCCCAAGCCTCAGGCCAGTGCTCGATCCATTAGCCCACCCTGCCTCCTTCACCCATTGCTCAATTCTGTAGGTTTTGTACCCACCCACCTCTGGTGGGGTTCTGCTGAGCAGTGGCTGCCCTGAAGCATTTTAGATGAACTCTTAGGGGCGAGCTTCGATGGTTTAATTAGAGTGAAAACAATTAAAAACCGTCCAGAGTGATCCATTTTTAAAGAAACACGAACAGCAAATCGTTTTGTTACCAATTCTCGAGTAGCTGGTTCGGCTGCCCAGGACCCAGCACCTGGCTCAAGGGCTACCAAAGCCCTATTTGGGGTCTTTAAGTAAGACTTAAGCAGCCTGGTACTGGCCCTCTGCAGTCCCCTAAAGTAGGGTTACCATATTGCCACAATCAAAAAAGAGGACACTGGGGGAGGAGGGAGCCCCGCCCTAGCCCCGCCCCGCCCCCATCCACTCCCTCCCACTTCCCACCCCCTGAATGCCCCCCCAGAACCCCAACCCCCCCTGCTTCTTGTCCCCTGACTGCCCCCTGCTGAGAACCCCCCACCCTAACTGCCCCCCTAGGACCCTACCTGTCCCCTGACTGCCCCGACCCTTATCCACTCGCATGGGTGGCGGGGTTGTAGAAATTTTGGTGGTGCTCAGAACCCCCCCCCCCACCTGCCTAAGGCTCTGGGAGGGGGGTTGGGTGGGGGGAGGAGGTCTGGGGTGCAGGTCCTGGTCTGGGGATTAGGGTGCAGGAGGGGTGCAGAGTGCAGGTTCTGGGATAGAGTTTGGGTGCTGGGTGCAGGCTCTGGGCTGGGGCAGGGGGTAGGTGTGCAGGAGGGGGTGAGGGGTGCAGGCTCTGGGATGGAGTTTGGGGGTGGGAGGCGGTGCAAAGGCAGGGGGTGCAGGCTTTAGGAGGGAGTTTGAGGGCAGGAGGGGGTGTGTGGGAAGGGGGGAGGGGGTTTGGGAGGGAGTTTGGGGATAGGAGGGGATGCAGGGGTGAGGGCTGTGGGTCTGAGGATGGGGGTTCATGATGCTGGAGGGGGCTCAGGGATGGAGCAGAGGATTAGGGTGCGGGGGGATGAGGGCTGGGGCTGAGGGGCTTGAGGCGTTGGAGAGGCTCAGGGCTAGGGTGGAAGGGCAGGGTAAGGGCAGCCTGTCTTCCCATTAGTGGATGGGGGACGCTAGGACCCGGGGGCAGCAGACAGCAGTTGCTGCTGGCTCTGGCAGTACAAGCAGACAAGGGAGAGGCAGGCAGAGAGGGGGCGCCCACAGGGGGGGACGACGCACAGAGGGGGGGTGGCAGGTGGAGGCCGGGGACCCATCCAACACTCCCCCACTCCCTGACTGCCCCCCGGACTCCCCTTACCATTCTGGCTCCACGTGTTTGCAAAACACGCTGCCCGGTGGGTCGGTTTGTGTGTTACACAGGGCTGCAGACAGAGGGAGGGGGGAGCAGGGGAGGGCTCTGGCTGCTGGAGGCCAATGGGAGCTGCTCAATCGGCCCAGCCGCCCAATCAGCAGCTGCACTCTGCATGGAAGGGAGGGAGGGAGGCGAGGGAGAAAAAAACCCTGGACATTTTAACCTTGTTACTAATTCCTCCCGGACGGCTATTTAGAGACGCAAAAGCCGGACATGTCCGGGGAAATATGAACGGATGGTAACCCTACCTAAAGGGACCGATCCTGTGTCACACTGGGCCACACTGGTGGTGTGAAGGGGGTGGAAATTGCCCCTGCCCTAGGCAGGGGGGACTCCCAGGTTAGTGTGGAGCTGGCGTCAGAGCCCTGCACCCTCCTGGCTTCCAACCCCTGGTGTAAGGGATGGATCAGGGGCTTGGCTGGAGCACGCTGCACCATGGGTATTCCCTGCTTCCCAGAGGAGGCAGAGAGTGAGTTAGAGCAGCCCGGAGGCTGCTCTGACTGTCGCCAGGGGCCCAGGTTCCAGGCATCGCAGAGAAGACTTTGAGCAGGGCCTGTGGCGTCTGTAAGTGGCCCAACGTTGGGGACCGTGTAGGAAGCTCTGAGATGACCATGCTGCACTTTGGCTGCTAACCTCCTTTCCTCCACCAATCCAGACGCTGTCCATCTTTCGGTGTCTGGGGAGCTGGCCGCTGTGAAGGCGTCTCACAGTAAAATGCAAGAGCAGATCACGGCGTTACAGAAAACAGTAGGTGAGGAGCACAGTGCCAGCTGCCGTGCCCATGCTAGGGCTGCAATCAGAGGGAGGTGGCAGCAGACACTGGCCCGCAGGGCCAGATGCTCAAGGGAGCTCTCCGCACACGGCAGCTCCCGTTGCGGGATTCTCTGTTGTTCTCAGTGGGACCTGCGGGGTGGGGGATTCTTTGAGCCAACCCCAGGCCCACCAAGGCTGCTGGCTACAGCCATCCCCTGTGGATCTCTCTCCGTATGTCTACACTCGTCCTGGGAGGGAGCCTCGCACCCGGGTCGACAGAGCGGGGCTAGCAGGGCTCGCTCTGGCATACTAAAAAGAGCCTTGTGGCTATTGCTTTGGCGCCGCGGCTGGGGCTGCACTCGGGCCCCTAGGCCCTGGAGGGGAATGGGGTTAGAACAGGGGGCTGGGAGTCAGGACTCCTGGGTCCTTTTCTTGGCTCTGCCAGATTCCCTGCCTGGCCCTGAATTGGGTTATTCTGGGTTTTGCTTTCTAGATTCTGTCTGCGGCCATTGCCCATGGGGCTGGGCCTGGTTCCAGAGAACCTGTTACTACTTTTCAGAGTCTACCAAAACCTGGCGGGAGGCCAAGCAGTACTGTTTGGATTATGGGGCACAGCTGGTGATCATTAACACCAAAGAGGAGCAGGTAAAGGTGCCTGCCACCCTCCTGGCGTACCCCGACCAGGCCAGGGAATCGCACAGCTACCCAGCAACAGCAGCAGGTTTACCCTGGGAATCCCTAGCGGGTGGGACCCAGGTGACCAGGGAGCAGGTGAGACCGACTGGGCCTGGCTCTTAAAACACGGCTCTTTGAAGGGTCACCAGGTTTTTCAAAAACCACATGCGGGCTTGGGTCTTAAAGGGAGCCCGGCACTCCGCAAACCAGCACACGCCACGTGCCGCGTGTTAACCAACCCACCGTGAGCGCTGAGGCCACCCCGGGTTAATATTCCCAGCAGAGGAATATTGATGCCTGAGCATGCCAGAAAAGCACCCAGAACAAAAGCCTAGATAGCGCGGCAAAAACCTGCAAATACAAGCGGGGGCAGGGTTTGAACTGGAGGGTTGTAAGAACAGGCTGGAGTCCCTATGGAGTTTTTGCCAGTTCTGTTGGGAGGGGCATTTCTGGGATGTTTTCAAGCGATCAGCCAGGCAAACCTTCAGTGGCTCTGCCCTGAACCCCTGTATCTTCCCCCAATGCCAGTTCATGTTTCCTCCCTGCATCCATCCCTTCCTCCCCAGGAGCTCAGGCCCCACGCCTCCTCCTTCAGGCCTCCTATTGCTTGGATTGAGAGCTGGACTGAGACCACACCCACTCATTCCACCCACCGGCCAGGAACAGCCCTCAGTTCCTGCTGGATTTGAGGTGGTGATACATCTATGGCATTTAAGGTCCCCCCCTAGCATATCACACTCTTCGATGTTGCTATCCTGCTAGCACCCTCAGGGGTAGAGCTATTATTCAGTTGGGGGAACTGAGGCATAGCGAGAGATGCAGGGACTTGACCAGGGCCATGCAGGGAGTCAGTAGCAGAGCTGGGACTTGAACCTGCGTCTCCTGAGTCCCAGGCCAGCACCTTGCCCACCAGGCCATCCTTCCTGGTATTGGCAGAGTATGTGGCCTGTCCCCCACCCATTCACCCCCTTACTCTGTTCTTGTCTATTGCAGGTGTTCTTGGTGAAGAACCGCCCAAAGTCCCGGGCGTACTGGCTGGGGCTGAGTGACCAGAAAGAGGAAAATCAATGGCTCTGGGTGGATGGCTCCCCTCTGAAACTCAGGTAGGTGGGGTGAAAGGCTCCATGCCCCCCTGCACCACCCCTTGCTCCCCGCTGTGGTCTCCATGGGGCTTTGCTCTTCTTCACAGCTTCTGGAGCAGCGGGGAGCCCAATGACGCCGGCGACGAGGACTGCGGCACCATGGCGATCGACGGCCGCTGGAACGACATTAACTGCTACATGACCGACTACTGGATCTGCGAAAAGCCCTGGCTCTGCTAGAGTCCGGCTCGACCGCCGGCACACGCCCTTCCTGAGCCACGGGCTGACCAGCGGGACCAGGCCCTGCCTCCTCCAGATCGCCCGTGGGACAGTCACCCCAAGCTGTGTTCTCTTGGTGATGCTCCCCGTCGCACAGCTCTTTCTGGGGGCTAGGAGTTGTTCCGAATCCCTGGGGGGGGGATGATATTTCTGCAGTGTTTCCTAGTGGGTAGGGCACCAGGCTGGAGCACAGCAGACGTGAGTTCTCTTCCCTGCTTCATCCTGGGACCTTGGACAACTCCCTTCCCCATGCCTCAGTTTCCCCTTGGAAGGGCTCAGGCTGTATCACTTCTGAATTTTGGATGATTGTATTTCACAGTACCATGACATGACTGGGTCATGGAATGCCTACGTGTGTGTGGATGCCCCAGGAGGTAGCAGGGTCGGCATGTCTCTGCCAGGGACTCTGCAAACCAATGGGGACGGACCAGCATGCAAGATTACGTTAAACACCGTGGGACAATGAATTTCCTCTGCCTGGGAGATGCCGCTTTCTGCTCTTGTCCAAGGTGAGGGAGGCTTGGAAGTAATGGAAAGTTACCAAAAGGCAGAACAAAAGAAGCAGGAGTTTAGAAAGGGACATCTGGGGGGAGCTTTCTCGGGGACAGAGCCACCTTGCACCAGATTAAGGGCTGGTCTACACTAGAAAATCAGACTGACCCACCTACATGGGTGAATAATCCACCCCCCTGAGCAATGTAGTTAAGCTGACCTAACACCCAGGGTGGAGAGCTCGGTTGGTGGAATAATTCTTCCGTTGACTTCGCGCTACCCATCTCGGGGAGGTTGATTTCCTCTAGCGATGGGATAGGCCCTCCCGGTGCTGTACTATGTGGCTGCCCAGAAACTGGTCCATGGTTCAACCTTTCTTCCTCTACTATGTGATCACTGGCTTTTAGCAATAAACCTGACTGATATTGATTGTTTGGTCTCTTGAATATACTTCATAACGAGCCAAAGCGCGGGCAAGCAACTGACTATACTATTTAGCATCTGCTTTTAGGCTGTTTTATATGTGTCTTGCTCGTTGTTGCCAATGAACTCACACAGAAAAATGATCAAAGGCAAAACCACCATATCGCCGGTGTGGGAACGCTTTTCTCAAAGCGATCGCTCCATATCTGACCTTTCCATACTTGTCCTCAAAGGCAAACGGCACAACGCCTTCAAAAGGCGAGTCTGCTAGACACCGAAAGCCATGGACTTACCAGGGACACTGGTTTTTTGGCTCATTACAACAGTTTGTAACACACCATGCTGCCCACCTCAAACCCTGTATGCATAACACTCATTTCCAGTGACTGCCTCCACCACGCATGACCCCTTCTGCTTAACAATCTGTGCCAATTTGTATTTTGCCTCCTTCCCCAGAGCTGAAGAAGAGCTCGGAGTTGCACGAAAGCTTGTACCAGAAGTTGGTCCAGTCAAAGATATTACCTCGCCCCTCCCCTTGTTTCTCGTTGCTTTGTGTGAGTTGTGCTCTCCTGGGCTTTACATGATTAAATATAACGAACATAAAGCTGATAGACTGAACAAAGAGAGTGTGTGTGTGTCTGTGTGCGTGCGTGTGTGTGTCTGTGTGTGCGTGTGTAACTGCTTCTCAACAGAGGCGTGTCCCTGAGAGGGTTAAACTGTAGGTCAGAAGCATGGCACCTTTTCGGTGGAGTTCTGGGGGAGGCTGGGTTTAAGTACAGGGGAGTCTGAAGGGTCAGCGCTGTGGCCAGACTGGGACAGGCAGCTGGACAGCAGGGTCCACCGCTCGGAAGGGGGAGCTACAGGGAACATCTGCGCCCTGAGAGTGAGCCTAGGTGCCCCAGGCTTGGGGCAGTGGCTGGTCTCTGTTCCGACTTCCGGAGCTGGAAACCCTTCGGAGATCCAGGTGCGGAGGCTTGGATTCCCCTCGAGCAGTCCCAGTGGGTGGCCCTTTCCTCGAGCAGCCATGCTCGCCATCTGCA